AGATAGATAGAAGGTAGGTAGATAGATACATAGATAGATGGTAGATAGGTAGATAGGTGGGTGGGTGGGTGGTAGGTAGGTATGTAGGTAGGTATGTAGGTAGATAGATAAAGTGAAAGGTGGTAAGCAATGGAGGAAGACACTCAATACTGACCCCTGTCCTCCACAAACACATGCATGTGCACCCTCGCACACATGTACACACACATCCACACAAAATGATAATTAAAAAACCATTCATGCACAAAGATATAGGATTGCATGCTTGCTTTCATTAGTGAATATGTATGTACCTGTACTTACACAACCCACTAGAGAAGTGGAAAAAGCGTTTTCCCACATCCCTTGAAAATAAGCCTCACCATTTCAGAGCTCCATAACGCTCACAAAACGGGAAATAACCAACTCCAAATAGCCACAAAACTGTGGCAAAATTTGCAAGTGTAGATGTTGTTATAAGAACTGTATAGAACAAACTATCAGTTTCCTATGACACAAAATAAAGTCCTTTGCCTTTGCCATTCACGCATGTCACAGGCAGGCAGGAACACATGTGTACATACTCCATCCGCTGTTCCATAGTCTGAAGTTTGCCCAGTCCATTGTGAAGCATCCTGGAGGAACTCAAGACATGAACGTGGGAAAAGATATATTTCTGCCTCACAGAATTTTAGATCTAGGTCACAGCCTACTCATGCAGAGTTCCTTCCCACATTGCTGCGTGGGTACCACCTGTCACTTTAGACAATGGCAGCATGTACCTGGTGCCAGGCACTGTGCTGAGTGTCTTACGTGTGTCCTTTCTTTTAATCCTCATGACTCTGGTGAAATTGTTTCTTATTCCCACCTTTTTCCTGCCTCGACCTGCAAGGGTTTCCACTGCAAGCAGGGTGAAGCAAGACTTTACACCTGCTAGTCTTACTGAATACCTTCACTGCCTCAAGGCTCTGCTGCCTCCTAGTGCTTGTGGACAGGCCTCCTCCAGACACTAGCACCACCCTGGTGTTGGCTAAATTGCAGCTTTGCAGGACTCTCCCAGGCATACTTCTTAAGGGTTCCGTACACATGGAGCTCCCAATGTGCTTCACAGAGAAGACAGAGGGAGGGCCTCCAACAGAAGCAATGATGCACCTAACAAAACATCTCTGAGTGTCATGAAATATTTTATACAGTCTGCTGCCATAATCCAGAAGGAAAAGGGACATTTCCTGATGGCACTGTAACCTTCTAGGAATGCAATGAGAACAAGTGTCACCATCAACTTGCCATCTTTCGTGTATAATTCATGAATTTTGACACATAGATACAATTGTGTGACCACCATCAAAATTAAGATACAAAATACCCCGAACCTTAAAAAAAAAAAAAATCATGTGCCCCTTTGCAGTCAATATCCAGTCCCGGGCTACAGCAGCCGCTTCTGTGTCTTCTGCACTAACATACTTGCCTTCTCCAGGATATCCTGCAAATGGAATTACACAATACATAGCCTTTTGCATCTGGTTTCTTGTACTTAGCTTTATGTACTTGACATTCAGTAAATATTCCTCCTTTTGCTGCATAGTAATCCATGATGTAGATGAACCACAATTGTGTATCAATTTACCTGTCAGAGAGTTGTTTCTGTTATTTTTGGGTATATGAAGGAAGCCGCCATTAAGATTACATATATGTTTTCTGTGAACATGAATTTTCATTTCTCTAGGGCAAGTTAACAATGAGATTTTTAGGTCAAATGTGAAATGTTTATTTCCTTACAAGAAAATGTCCCACTTTTTAAAGCATCTATATCATATTAATTCATACCAAGAATGTGTGTACTGGGGAAACCCAAATCCTTCTGAGCATTTGGTTTATTGTTAGTTTTTATTTTGGTGATTCTCAATGTTATACAATGTTATCTTTTAGTATTATTGTTTTGTTTCACATTTTCATAATGGCCAATAATGTTACACACATTTCCAGGTACTATGTGTCTTCTTTGATGAAGCATCTATTCAAATCTTTATGTGTTTTTAAATTAAATTTTCATTTTCAATTGCATTTTGAGCCTTTTATTGTTCAAAAAAGTCCTTTATCACTAGGCATTTTGTAAACATTGCCTTGCAGTGTGTAGATTGCATTTCCATTTTCTTAACACTATCCAAAACAGTCTTGATTTTGTGATTGTTTTACGGGTTATAAAAGCCTACAGTGGGGGGCTGGAGAGATGGTTCAGAGGTTAAGAGCACTGCCTGCTTGTCCAAAGGTCCTGAGTTCAACTCCCAGCAACCACATGGTGGCTCACAACCATCTGTAATGAGGTCTGGTGCCCTCTTCTGGCCTGCAGGCATACATGCAGAAAGAATATTGTATACATGATAGATAGATAGATAGATAGATAGATAGATAGATAGATAGATAGATAGATAGATAGATAGATAGTTAAAAAGCCTACAGTGGGTAGGGGAAATGGTTCAGACATTAAACCACTTGCTTTCAAGCTGAGAGTCTGAGTTCAATCTCACACAAACTTTAAAAAATTTAGAGCAGTATCTGTAAGAAAAAGTAGTTCACAGTAAAAGTTTCTGTGTATACAATTTACAACAAATGATACAGTCGTCCACGTGTGATGGCTCATGCCTCTGTTCCAGTACTCAATACAGCCCCCTTCTTGGGTGTATGTCTGCAAATATTTTCTCCCAAAGTGTGTGATGTTTTTTCACTCTGTTCCCTTGGGTGTGCAGAAACTTTTCAGTTTTATGTAATCCCATTCCTTTATCCTCCATGGTTTTTTTTCTTCAGTGGTTTTACAGTACTGAATCTTGTATTTGAGTCTTTGTTTTTACCTGATTTCTATATTTGGTGTGTGATGAGGGTCGAATTTCATCCTTCTGCATGTAGCTGTTCTCAGCATCTCTTGTTGAAGACACTGACGTTTTCCCCACTGTGTGTTTTTGGGCCCCTTGTTGAGAAATCAGTTCACTGTAAATGTGGTGGTTATTCCTGGGCTCTTGGTGCTGATCTGATGGATGATGTATCCGCGTCTGCGCCAGCACTATGCTTGTTTTCACGCTAACAGTTTTGTAACACATTTCCAAATCAAGGAGTGTAGTGACCTTCGTTGCTTTTCATCACAGGAAAGTAGCAGGCAATGGTGATAGCGTGCTGCTGGGGAAAGGTGTGGAGGAGGCCTCTCCCGGGTGACACAGACCTGTAATCCCAGCTGTTTGGGAGGCTGAAATGCCTGCCAGAGTTACAGTGTGAGTTCAAAGCAAGCCTGGACAACTTAGTGGAATGCTGACACAAAATAAAAAACATTTTTAAAATGTAGCTCAGCGGTAGAACATTTGCCTACACGTGAAAGAGTCCTAGAAAGGAGGAGGAAAGAATGCTGTCTTTCACAAAATTTGCCAAAAATATGAAGTTTGAAGAACTTTCAAGAGTGGTGTGTACTGACCAACCCGTTCGAGGAACACAAGGCAATGGTCTGGCGGTGAAGAGTTGCAGGTCCCAGGCTGCTGAATGCCAGGAAACAGCCCACGGAGAGGCCATAACTCAGAGAGTAAAAAGCTCCCAATACACGCTGTTTTATTTGCTTTGGTTTTTAAACAAATGGGGGGGGGTGTAAAGATCACTTCTGCCTTTGAGCGCAGCACAACCTCTAAGAACTGACAAGCCCTTGAAGGAGTGTTGCAACCGCTGCCCAGCACGGCCGCTGTGCTTACACAGTGCCTGAGTAGTCTGCTCTGTTCCTGATGGAGAAGGAGCTCCAAGTCAGAATCTGCACAGTTGCGATGCCCAGCGGGACCACACACACCAAATTAAACATGGTGTCTTGAAGATCTAAAAATATTCTGGAGGAAAAGATGTACAACAGTTAATTTTTCCCCAGAAGCTTCTTTTCTTATTGATTCAAAGCTAGTTAACACATGGTATTCAGTAACATTTTTCTCTATTAGTTCATTTAACAAGAAAGAGACATTGTATTGTGTAGTTTTGGTTCTTTCAAGTCCCTGAGTAATTTCTTCCTCCTAGTTGCACATAGGAAAGGAAGGTGACATGTGAACTTGTGATTGGTCCCTGCTGACAAGTAATGTCTGCGATACAGAACCACCTGCCATGCATGGGTGGACAGAGAACAGAGTCCAGGACACAAAACAGAGACTTTCCATGTACCCTCAGGCTAGGCCTGGTAGTATAATGTTTGCAATCCCAGCACTCAGGAAGCTGAGGTAGGAAGACTGTGGGGATTGAAGCTAGTGTGGACTACATAGGAAGTTCTAGGCCAACCTAGAACACAGCGAGCAAGACCTTAATCTGAAAGAAAAACAATGGAGAATTCTATTCCTAGGCCTCATGGTCCAGTAGCTCACAGCTACAGGAAAGCTGGGGCAAGGGGATTGAAAGTTCAAGGTCTGTCTGAGCTACAGAGACACAGGCATCTTCGGATGCCTCAGTCTTGAAATAGCTGCCAAGCTTTAAACAAAGTGGGTGGGTTTGGACATTCATTTCTAGTACATATGATGGCTATAAAAGGGGTATGATGGAATTTCTCAGGGTGACAGACGAGAGCCCTCTTTCAGAAGGTTTACCTGTTCTTAGCAAGTGGAGTCTAGGAAAGGCTTCTCGGAGAAAGTATATAAACAGTTCTGGAAAACGCAACATGTCGGCGAGAAGGCTTCTGTCTAGACTAGCCGATGCAAACACTCCAGCCGTATCTGCCTCCCCTCTGAGAGCCCTGCCATAAGATGTTCTTGGTTCTCTGGTCTGGTTACACTTGTTGGGTGTGGCTGTCCCGCTGAGCCCTCATCATTAACCCTGTCCTTCACCTCGACTCCCACCTGATCCAAATACTCATTGCTACCCACCTACTTCCACTCTTCCTCTGCTTCTCCTAAGGTACGGAGACAACCACCAGGGCCAAGGTCAGCAGCTAGACTGCTTACTACATCCAGGTAGAGGTCTCACTGCTATTCTGCCCAAATGCTCTGGGGAAAACTTCATTTCTAGAACCATGTGGTAGTTTGTTGTCCCAGAATTCCCTCATTTAAGAAAAATCTGTGAGCCAGGTGGTGGTGGTGCACACCTTTAAGCCCAGTACTTGGGAGGCAGAGGCAGGCGGATCTCTGTGAGTTCGAGGCCAGCCTGTTCTACAGAGTGAGTTCCAGGACAGACTCCAAAGCTACACAGAGAAACCCTGTCTCGAAAAAACAAAAATAACAACAAAAAAAAAAAAGAAAGAAAGAAAGAAAGAAAGGAAGGAAGAAAAAATCCTCTGTGGAATCAAAAACCAAGAATTAAATGCTTCTGTTCATTTAACTCAGGACCATTCTCTCAGTTTCACAGACTTTAACTTAATTTTATAATGATTACATTTCAAACCAACAAAAATATAGAAATTAATTTAAAGAATACTCTATATCCAGGTATAATAAATGCCAAAATAAAACATGATTGACAAATCAAAAAAGAAAGAGAGAAAAGAAAAATTCTCTCAGGCTGGAGAGCTTGTTCAGCGATTAAACGCTAGGTTTACAACCAAAAACATAAGAAAAGTCTTCTCAAGCCTGGCGGTGGTGGCGCATGCCTTTAATCCCAGCACTCAGGAGGCAGAGGCAGGTGGATCTCTGTGAGTTCGAGGCCAGCCTGGTCTACAAGAGCTAGTTCCAGGAGAGACCCCAAAAATCTTCTCCCCTCTTTTCAGAAGTCCTGGCTCTGTCCTAAAGACTTGGTGGGGCCTAACTGCCCCACTCCAGCCCCAACAGCCAGATGTTATTCTGGCCTCATCAGCGGAAGTCATGCTTATGTGATTCCTACAGTCTCAGTGATAGGCATGTGACTCCCGTGGCGCCTCTCAGGATCTGCCTGAGGACTTTGGATGTGCTGCTCTCTCAAAGGTGCTTATTCATTCACAGCCTGAAGCTGTTCAGTCAGTAAACCTGGGAGCTATATTGCCACCGAGTGGTAAAAGCTTGAAGCCAAAACAGAGAGGTCAAAGGATCCTGACATTATTTGAGATCCAGTTCTGCTGGACTTTTCACATATAACCGGGAGGTCCCTCTCTATTGAGGCTAGCCAGCACTACATTTCTGCCACGGTAGCCACAGTGGCCTGAAAACCGTGGCTTTCCAGCTGGCACGTATGCCCACATTACTATAAATGAGCTGCTTCAACCATGCTGGGTGAAGGTGCTCTGTAATTGGCCACAACCGATTAAGACAAAGAGGTTTGAAACAGCTGAGCACAGATTTCCAGAATGGGAGCATGAGGTCATGACTGCGCTTTTGAACTTGAGGCTGGAGGTGCTCATAAACGTGAGGCATCGCTTACCAGCCTCAACTGTTAATTGATTTGAGCCACATGACACACTAGATGGGAGACAATGGGTGCAAAATGCCAAGAGGTAATGGAAACCTAAGCTCTGCTTTGAAACAGAATCACGTCTCTAATAAAAGAGAGAAAGGAAGTGGGCTAATCAAGCCTTTCCAGAGGGGGGCACAGCTAAGAGCCGCTTGCTAGTCACAGAATTATTACAATATGTGCTTTATGAAAAGGCCGGTTTCTGCTTGGCAGAGGCACCTCTGTGTTCTGATCTCGGTCTTTCATTAGCAACAGGAGCCCATTATCCTTCAGCATTCTCTAGTTATAACAGATTCCAGCTTCAGAATTATCAAGAAATTGGACTCCAGCTGCCAGGGCCTCTCTCTGGGAGATTTTCCACTTCTGTGATGGACCTGCCTTTTTTTCCCTGGGGAGAAAGGTCTGGAGAACACCTGCAATGATTTGCACAGTCAAAGCCTCTCGTGAGCATGCTGACTGGGCTCAGAGATGCTGGAGAGATGGCTTTGCAGGCAACGAGCATGTGCTGCTCAAACATGGGGACCTGAGTTTGCATGCCAGTACCATGTAAAAAGAAACAAAAAAGCTAGGCATAGCCACTCACACCTATAACCCAGTGCTGAGGCTTGGCGGTGAGAAGGATGGATGGGGCTTTCTGGCTGCCAGGTTTAATGAGAGGCTCTGTCTCAAAGAGTATAGAGTGATACAGAAGGGCAGCCAATTGCCTCCTCTGGCCTTTGTGCCTGTGTACCTGCACACACATGCATATAACACACACACACACACACAGAGAGAGAGAGAGAGAGAGAGAGAGAGAGAGAGAGAAATCTTAGGCTACATGCTCGAAGGCAGCAAAGGAACAATCATTCCAGTGAATCTTACAACCTGACAACTATCCTGCTGCTGCTGGTGGTGGCTGGTGGTCTATGAGGATCACTTAAGCTTTTGTTACAGTCATTAAATGACTTCACACTTTCCAAAGTACCTGTGAGCTCCCCATTAGTTCACAGGCTGTCTTGAAGCTCTTCAAAGATTTGTCTTTCAGGGTTTTTTTTTTATTTTCTCAAAATGGGGTTTTACTGCAGCTGGCTTGGAGCTTGCTACATAAATCAGACTGCCTCAAACTTGAGGCAGTCCTGAGATTACAGGCATCCACCATGCCTAGCTTTTTCTACTTTCTCAAGATTTTCTTCTTTCTCCTAAAATTTTATTTCAAGTCAAGGACATGATTAGAGAATTTATTCAGCTCTCTCTACTGGAATATGGATGAACCCATCGACTAATTAGGCTAGTGTACCATCACAATGACTTCAGCTTTCCTTTCCACCTTACTAACTGTGGGGGTTTGAATGAAAGTGGCCCCCACAGGCCCATACATCTGGTTTCCAGTTAGTTGGTGGACTGTCAGGAAGGACTGGGAGGTGGGTTTGTTGGAGGAAGTATGTCACTGGGGGTGCTTTGAAGTTTCAAAATCCCATGCCAGGTCCAGTGCTCTCACTTGCGCTCTCTCTCTCTCTCTCTCTCTCTCTCTCTCTCTCTCTCTCTCTCTCTCTCTGTGTGTGTGTGTGTGTGTGTGTGTGTGTGTGTGTCTCCATCTTGGAGATCAGATGTAAGCTCTTGGCTACTGCTCCAGCAACATGCCTGCCTGCCTGCTGCTATATCCCCCACCATGTTGATCATGGACTCACCCTCTGAACTGTAAATAAGCCCCCAATTAAATTTTATAAGTTGCTTGGTCATGGTGCCTCGTCACAGCAAGAGAACAGTAATAAGAAAGATAACACCAACATTTTAAATGACTCTCCAGCATAAAAAAAAATAGCTCTTAAGGAAAGCAACATGGCTCAGGGAGTCTCATTTGATCCTGGGGACACACACAGTGGAAAGACATAACTGACCCCTACAAGTTGTCCTCCGACCTCCGCATTTACACCATGGCACATGTGCTCATTCATTCATTCATCCATAAGCTGTGTCTATGCTTTTTTTTTTACCAAATATTTATAGCTTATTTGCTGCATTAGTTTCTTGGAATACAGAGCAAATAATAATCTTGGCACTCAACAAGCCTTACCTTCTAGCAGAATCAGAGAAACCATAAACAAATGTATTTAATTTTAGTGTGTAATTATAATGGCATTTCTCCATATGAAAAAATTTCATGTGCTCCATTTTCTCTCATAATTTTCTCCTTTCAAGAGAAAACAAGTACCTAACTGTAGCTAATAACATTCTAAAACATTACCATCTGGTACGTCTTGCTCTCTTACGCCTGCTGAGTCATTTGCAAAGTCAGCTCTATGAAGTAAAGGGGGCATAATGCAAGCTATCATGCTGGCCCTCAAACTCTGTTACAATTAGACTCTTCCTAATCACAAGGCTTAAGTGAAGCCTGCCTCCTCTCTACTCTCCTTTTCCCTGTTGATATCATCTCTAAAGGCATGAAACTACTGGGGCTGCATCCATGAAATAACTTTCATTGCTAGTCATAAAAACAGGCAACCCTACCAATGGA